TCCTGTAGGCTGACTTGGTTTCATCCATACCTATAGGCTGACTTGATTTCACCTATTCCTACTGGCTTCCTTGGCTTCACCTATTCCTATAGGCTGCCTTGGTTTCACCCATACCTATGGGCTTCCTTGGCTTTACCTGTTCCTGTAGGCTGACTTGGTTTCACCCATACCTATGGTCTTCCTTGGCTTCCCCTATTCCTATAGGCTGCATTTGTTTTACTCATTCCTATAGACTACCTTGACCTCCCCCATTCCTATAGCCTGCCCGGATTTCCCTTGTCTTCCCATGTCTGATTTTCAGCCGTATTAATTTCTGGAAATCCCCTGGGGAAATCGAGGGTGTTCAATGTGGAGATCACCTCTTTTATTTTGGGAAGTTACTTAAGAAGTTGCTTCATCATCATGTTGCAGAATGATAAATGATAGGAACTTGCTTCATCTAGTAGGGCTGTATTACATAGGAGGGGATGTTATGACACTTCTTTGGTTCCTACTTTTTTGCATGTGCAGGAAATTATTAAGTGAAGGTCTCTTGTCAGATACAAGCAAACAAAATAGCTTAATGCTGAACTAAATCCTCCTATCTGTTACAGCAGGGGTCTCCAAACTTTTTAAACAAAGGGCCAGTTTACTGACCTTCATACTTTAGGAGGGCCAGACTGTGGCCAGCTGGAGTAGAAAATGTCTTGGTGTCAGTGGGAGTAAACAGTGTCCCCCTCGTTGGTGTCAGTGGAAGGAATAGTGCCCCATCATTGGTGTCAGTGGGAGGAATAGTACCTCATCATTGGTGTCAGTGAGAGGAATAGTGCCACATCATTGGTATCAGTGGGAGGAATAGTACCTCATCATTGGTGTCAGTGGGAGGAATAGTACCTCATCATTGGTATCAGTGGGAGGAATAGTGCCCCATCATTATTGTTAGTGGGAGGAATAGTGCTCCATCATTGGTGTCAGTGAGAGGAATAGTGCCCCATCATAGGTATCAGTGGGAGGAATAGTGCCCCATCGTTGGTGTCAGTGAGAGGAATAGTGCCCCATCATTGGTATCAGTGGGAGGAATAGTGCCCCATCATTGGTATCAGTGGGAGGAATAGTGCCCCATCATTGGTATCAGTGGGAGGAATAGTGCCCCATCATTGGTGTCAGTGGAAGGAATAGTGCCCCATCATTAGTATCAGTGGGAGGAATAGTGCCCCATCATTGGTATCAGTGGGAAGAATAGTGCCCCATCATTGGTATCAGTGGAAAGAATAGTGCCTCATCATTGTGCCAGTGGGAGGAATAGTGCCCCATCATTGGTATCAGTGGGAGGAATAGTGTCCCATCATTGGTATCAGTTGGAGGAATAGTGCCCCATCATTGGTGTCAGTGGGAGGAATAGTGCCCCATCATTAGTATCAGTGGGAGGAATAGTGCCCCATCATTAGTATCAGTGGGAGGAATAGTGCCCCATCATTGGTGTCAGTGGGAGGAATAGTGCCCCATCATTAGTGTCAGTGGAAAGAATAGTGCCTCATCATTGGTGCCAGTGGGAGGAATAGTGCCCCATCATTAGTATCAGTGGGAGGAATAGTGCCCCATCATTAGTATCAGTGGGAGGAATAGTGCCCCATCATTGGTGTCAGTGGGAGGAATAGTGCCCCATCATTAGTGTCAGTGGAAAGAATAGTGCCTCATCATTGGTGCCAGTGGCAGGAATAGTGCCCCATCATTGGTATCAGTGGGAGGAATAGTGCCCCATCATTGGTATCAGTGGGAAGAATAGTGCCCCATCATTGGTATCAGTGGAAAGAATAGTGCCTCATCATTGGTGCCAGTGGGAGGAATAGTGCCCCATCATTGGTATCAGTGGGAGGAATAGTGTCCCATCATTGGTATCAGTGGGAGGAATAGTGCCCCATCATTGGTATCAGTGGGAGGAATAGTGCCCCATCGTTAGTGTCAGTAGAAGGAATAGTGCCTCATCATTGGTGTCAGTGGGAGGAATAGTGCCTCATCATTGGTGTCAGTGGAAGGAATAGTGCCCCATTGTTAGTGTCAGTGGAAGGAATAGTGCCTCATCGTTGGTGTCAGTGAGAGGAATATTTCCTCATTGTTGGTGTCAGTGGGAGGAATAATGCCCCATCATTGGTGTCAGTGGAAGGAATTGTGCCCCATTGTTGGTATCGGTGGAAGGAATAGTGCCCTATGTTGGTGTCAGTGGGAGGAATAGTGCCCCATCATTGGTGTCAGTGGGAGGAATTGTGCCCCGTCATTGGTATCAGTGGGAGGAAGAGTGCCCTATTTTTGGTGTCAGTGGAAGGAATAGTGCCCCATCGTTGGTATCAGTGGGAGGAATAGTGCCCCATCATTGGTATCAGTGGGAGGAATAGCGCCCCATCATTGGTGTCAGTGGAAGGAATTGTGCCCCATCGTTGGTGTCAGTGGAAGGAATAGTGCCCCATCATTTTTGTCAACGGAAGGAATAATGCCCCATTATTGGTGTCAGTGGGAGGAATAGTGCCCCATTGTAGATGTCAGGGGCAGGAACTATGCTGCACCGTTGCTGACAGTGGGGGGAATAATGGTCCAAGGGCCAGATGAAAGCAAGCAAAGGGTCGCATCCAGCCCTCAGGCCATAGTTTGGGGATCACTGCTTTACAGCGATTTGTTAGCTTGACAGTTCGGTGAAGAGCGCAAGTAACTGTGACAGTTATTCATGGCATGACTTGAATGCAGCTGTTCGATAAACAGTTAAATTGTTGAGTTTAGTTCTGCTTTTCCCCTTGTGAATCATTGCTTTGTCCTTTCCCATCATCACATACCTTTCCTTCACCCCCCTCCGCTCTGTTCAGCACCCACACTTGAATGCAACTTGGTCACGTCTGCCATCCAGGGGTGGGCTGACAACTCATAGGGCCCCCGGGTAATAGGGGATCATGGGGCCCCTGTGTCCTTGCCCAAACTCAAAAAAGCCTATGAAAAAGGTACCAGGGGCATCTCATGGGGCCCCATACTGACCCCAGGCCCTCCGGCAGTGCCCACGTTTCCAAATGGTCAGTCCGCCCCTGGCCATGTCACAGACCTTGTTCTCTACTACTGCCAAACTTCCAGGAGTGTCAGATGCCTTGGTCTCCAGCTGAGCTCTGGGGTTCCTTCAATCAGCCCCTGTGTCACTAGAAGCCATTCCGAGGATACACGGCGCACAGAAGTGGACCAGGCATCCAACCCAGAAGTGTCAGGTGTGGAAGTCTTTTCAGCAGAAACAGAAACGACACCTCCTACGCTTTAGGACTCAAACCAGTGGTGGAAGGGTCGAAGGAACCTCAAAACAATTCCACCAGTGCATGGAAGGTTGTGCAGCTCTAGAACAAGGCTGGGGAAGCCTGACCGATACTGTGAAGTGAAGAAAAAAAAAGAGCGCACCAACCTTGCGCATTACCTCAGTAAATCTGTGATTTTATTAAATAAAATATATATATATATATACTCACAGACAAGGAATTATAACAAGCATGCTGGAGAGTGCAAAATCAGGTGCACTTCTGCATAGAAACCAATCCGCTTCCAGGTTTTAGTAACAAAGCCTAATTGAACAAGCTGATTGGCTACCACGCACAGCCAGTGGCGTATTTAGGTTTTTTGTTGCCCTAGGAAACACAAAAATTGCCCCCCCCCCGTAGAGAGAGCCTGACATTGAGCAACAACACCCTTGCCTCCCACCCGAGAAAGCCTTGAGAGAAAGACACTCACCTTCACAGCTCCGGACATCCCCGGGAACGAGAGTCGGGCTGTGCATACTCCGTCATGAAACCCGCAGCCTATCTCGGAACCCACCAGGTCCCCATGCCACGTGTGATCCCTTCTTCCGTCCTTTCTTCCACGGGGCTGTGCTGCCCCCCTTGAGAAATGCCGCCCTAGGCAAATGCCTTGTAACTACACCCCTGCGCACAGCTACACCAGATTCTGAGTGAACCAGTTTTAGTAAATCTCCTCCAGTGTGCTCTCCCCAAATGATCAGACTTCTGCTGACACCACCCCCCCCCCCCCCCCCCCCCAGCCATTCACTGAGAATCTCAGTGTTCTGCCATTTCTCCCCCCCCCCCCCCAGCTCTCTCTTCTCAGCTGCATAAGGAGCTGAGAGGGAATGTGATCACTTATAAAACGGGAAAAAGGTATTCAACATGTTATTTTATATCTGCACACAAATGTTTTTGCCTTTCACTTCTATTTTAAATTGAATGGATTGTAGGCAGGGGCGGACTGACCATTTGGAAACTGGGACACTGCCCAAGGGCCCGGGGTCAGTAGGGGGCCCCATGAGATGCCCCTGATACCTTTTTTATAGGCTTTTTTGAGTGTGGGCAAGGACACAGGGGCCCCCATGATCCCCTATTGCCCAGGGGCCCCATGAGTTGTCAGTCCGCCCCTGGTTGTAGGCATGGGCATTTGGAGACTTTTGAGGCTTCTAATCCTCTCATCAAATGGGAGCTGCTTTGGACCTCCCACCAGCTTCCCAGAACTGCACACCCTGCAAGGACATGTCACAATACCTATGGGTTACCAATGAGTTCATCTGAAGCCTCCAGCCTGTTTTTGGTTTGAGTATTTATTGTTAGTGTATATGTACTGATCAGAAAGAATGCCCTGTGTACACCTAGAACTGCAAACTCTACCGTATATAGAAGTAAAGTTATAAAAAAATAAATAACACACACTGATTAGATGATTTAGGTTAAGCAGATAACATTCAGTGCACAAAATGGTGACATTTTTGGAATTTGTGCTTTATTGGGAATAAGGAAATGACATTGTGTTTTATATCTTTTTTTTTTTTTCAGAAAAAAAACCTAAGGAGAGCTCAGTCGGTGGAGGTAAGTGCCCTGTGACAATGCAGCTTTACTGCTGAATGGATCTAGAACCCTGATAACCCCTTAGTTTGTGCAGAGGGCCGTGAATTCATCCAAAATGTATGGTTTGTTTATTGATGAAGCCCCACACTATTTGGGTATCCTGACAATATGTTTGCTGATCTGTTGTCTTGCAGGGGAAGAGAGGCGGACCTGGTGGCCCTCTATGACTATGATGGTGTCCATCCTGAAGACCTGACGTTTAGGAAAGGCGATTATTTCCAGTTACTGGAGGAGTAAGTTATACCAGTTCAGCCAACAATTGATCACTTAGATCACCAGAAGGCTTCACTGATGTATGTGTAGGAATGGGGATTATTTCCAGTTACTGGAGGAGTACGTTATACCAGTTCAGCCAACACTAGATCACTCAGATCCCTAGAAGGCTTCACTGATGTATGTGTAGGAAAGGAACGTTTTCTGTGTTTTCTGAAGAAGCGTTAAATGCCAGCTTAAGTATTTTTATTTGAAATAAATAGTCAAGCGCCTTCTAATGCATTGTCTGGGGAGACCAGATATAGTAATTGCAGGGTCCGGGGAGAGCGGATATATAGTGAATGCAGGGTCCAGGGAGACCAGATATAGTGAATGCAGGGTCCGGGGAGACCAGATATAGTGAATGCAGGGTCCGGGAGACCAGATATAGTAAATGCAGGGTCCTGGGAGAGCAGATATAGTGAATGCAGGGTCCGGGGAGAGCGGATATAGTGAATGCAGGGGTCCGGGGAGAGCGGATATAGTGAATGCAGGGTCCGGGGAGAGCGGATATAGTGAATGCAGGGTCCGGCTAGAGCGGATATAGTGAATGCAGGGTCCGGGGAGACCAGATATAGTAAATGCAGGGTCCAGGGAGAGCAGATATAGTGAATGCAGGGTCCAGGGAGAGCAGATATAGTGAATGCAGGGTCCGGGGAGAGCGGATATAGTGAATGCAGGGTCCGGGGGAGAGCGGATATAGTGAATGCAGGGTCCGGGGAGAGCGGATATAGTGAATGCAGGATCCAGGGAGGCCAGATATAGTGAATGCAGGGTTCGGGGAGAGCGGATATAGTGAAGGCAGGGTCCGGGGAGAGCGGATATAGTGAATGCAGGGTCCGGGGAGAGCGGATATATAGTGAATGCAGGGTCCGGGGAGAGCGGATATAGTGAATGCAGGGTCCGGGGAGAGCGGATATAGTGAATGCAGGGTGCTGGGAGACCAGATATAGTGAATGCAGGGTCCGGGGAGAGCAGATATAGTGAATGCAGGGTCCGGGGGAGAGCAGATATAGTGAATGCAGGGTCCGGGGGAGAGCAGATATAGTGAATGCAGGGTCCCAGGGAGAGCAGATATAGTGAATGCAGGGTCTGGGGAGACCAGATATAGTGAATGCAGGGTCCGGGGAGAGCAGATAAAGTGAAGGCAGGGTCTGGGGAGACCAGATATAATGAATGCAGGGTCCGGGGAGACCAGATATAGGGAATGCGGGGTCCGGGGAGACCAGATATAGTGAATGCAGGGTCCGGGGAGAGTGGATATAATGAATGCAGGGTCCGGGGAGAGGGAGTATAGTGAATGCAGGGTCCCGGCGAGAGCAGATATAGTGAATGCAGGGTCTGGGGAGAGCGGATATAGTTAATGCAGGGTCCGGGGAGACCAGATATAGTGAATGCAGGGTCTGGGGAGAGCGGATATAGTGAATGCAGGGTCCGGGGAGACCACATATAGTGAATGCAGGGTCCGGGGAGACCAGATATAGTGAATGCAGGGTCCGGGGAGACCAGATATAGTGAATGCAGGGTCCGGGGAGACCAGATATAGTGAATGCAGGGTCCGGGGAGACCACATATAGTGAATGCAGGGTCCGGGGAGACCAGATATAGTGAATGCAGGGTCCGGGGAGACCACATATAGTGAATGCAGGGTCTGGGGAGACCAGATATAGTGAATGCAGGGTCCGGGGAGACCAGATATAGTGAATGCAGGGTCCGGGGAGACCAGATATAGTGAATGCAGGGTCTGAGGAGACCAGATATAGTGAATGCAGGGTCCGGGGAGACCAGATATAGTGAATGCAGGGTCCGGGGAGACCAGATATAGTGAATGCAGGGTCCGGGGAGAGCGGATATAGTGAAGGCAGGGTCCGGGGAGACCAGATATAGTGAATGCAGGGTCCGGGGAGAGTGGATATAATGAATGCAGGGTCCGGGGAGAGGGAGTATAGTGAATGCAGGGTCCCGGCGAGAGCAGATATAGTGAATGCAGGGTCTGGGGAGAGCGGATATAGTTAATGCAGGGTCCGGGGAGACCACATATAGTGAATGCAGGGTCTGGGGAGAGCGGATATAGTGAATGCAGGGTCCGGGGAGACCACATATAGTGAATGCAGGGTCTGGGGAGACCAGATATAGTGAATGCAGGGTCCGGGGAGACCAGATATAGTGAATGCAGGGTCCGGGGAGACCAGATATAGTGAATGCAGGGTCCGGGGAGACCACATATAGTGAATGCAGGGTCCGGGGAGACCAGATATAGTGAATGCAGGGTCCGGGGAGACCACATATAGTGAATGCAGGGTCTGGGGAGACCAGATATAGTGAATGCAGGGTCCGGGGAGACCAGATATAGTGAATGCAGGGTCTGAGGAGACCAGATATAGTGAATGCAGGGTCCGGGGAGACCAGATATAGTGAATGCAGGGTCCGGGGAGACCAGATATAGTGAATGCAGGGTCTGGGGAGACCAGATATAGGGAATGCAGGGTCCGGGGAGACCAGATATAGTGAATGCGGGGTCCGGGGAGACCAGATATAGTGAATGCAGGGTCCGGGGAGACCAGATATAGTGAATGCAAGGTCTGGGGAGACCAGATATAGGGAATGCAGGGTCCGGGGAGACCAGATATAGGGAATGCAGGGTCCGGGGAGACCAGATATAGTGAATGCAGGGTCCGGGGAGACCAGATATAGTGAATGCAGGGTCCGGGGAGACCAGATATAGTGAATGCAGGGTCCGGGGAGACCAGATATAGTGAATGGAAGGTCTGGGGAGACCAGATATAGGGAATGCAGGGTCCGGGGAGACCAGATATAGGGAATGCAGGGTCCGGGGAGACCAGATATAGTGAATGCAGGGTCCTGGGAGACCAGATATAGTGAATGCAGGGTCCGGGGAGACCAGATATAGTGAATGCAGGGTCCGGGGAGACCAGATATAGTGAATGCAGGGTCTGGGGAGACCAGATATAGTGAATGCAGGGTCCGGGGTTTAGTATCGCTTTACCCAAGGACAGATAAGAATCAGGCAATCTGAAAAATCTCCGTCATAATGACTTGATAAACAGATATCTTGTTTTTCAGATGTCCAATGAAAGCAGTGACACATGAATACCTTCTGTTTTAAAAAGGCAATTCTGTACATCTTTCACACAAGCCAGCTAGAATCTGATTATTATGGGCAATGCAGACACTTTCTTGTATTTTTTTATTTATGAATGCAGTCTGGATTATGAAGTCCTCAATGAATCACCTTTTCTCTGCAATCACAAAGTTCATTTGCTGTCGCTGTAGGTCCGGGGAGTGGTGGCATGCACGTTTAATACACACAGGAGAAGAAGGCTATATTCCCAGTAATTATGTTGGAAAAGTGAACTCCCTGGAGTCGGAAGAGTAAGTTACACCTATATTTTATCGTTTCCTTCTTCTCAATAATCCATTCATTCGCTGTATGTGTTGGAGCACTTTGGAGTGAGATTTTACTCTTTTCCTAGAGCGCCTCCTCGTTTATTTGCCGATTGACAAAAGATCAGAGCTGCTGGTAGCAACAAGTGTATCTACAGACAAAACTTCCTTTTTAGGCAGGCGTTACATGGGTCAAATTCTGAACGAATTCTCTTTTGAAAATCGGAAATTTTGTGCGTTTTGTAATCCAATGGTGACACCGTTGATTTCGAAATTCGAACAACCAAGCCTTCAATTTACCTCATATTGCTACAGAGAAGAATTTTCGTGGCTGGGAATCTTCTTCTCTTTCCAGGTCACGGCTCATGTTCATTTCTTTGTATTTCTCCCATGATTTTCCCATCATTGATTAGAAATTTAGTTTTTTAAAAAATTTCTGACATGCCCAATCATTCAAATTTGATGGCCCCATGAAAGTTGGCAGATGCTGCGGCCCCCAGGAGGTATGAGTAGCCAAAAGTGGGCTTAGTTTACCAGATGCTACCTATAGTGGAAATATAAAGTGATCATTTTCATTCAGCATATATGTGGAGCTAATATTTACTTGAAATCGCTTAAGCAACAGTTGTTATTTCACCTCTTAGATTGTAAATATTATTCATGAAGATGATGATAATAAAGAAATGTAATCTCCAAACACGGAAAGGTTTCTTCACAGTAAGAGCTGTGAAAATGTGGAATAGACTCCCTCAAGAGTTGGTTGTGGCCAGCTCAGTGGATTGTTTCAAAAAAGTCCTGGATTCTTTCTTAGATACACAGAATATAACTGGATATAACATTTATAGGTAAAGTTGATCCAGGGAATATCCGATTGCCTCTCGGGGGATCAGGAAGGAATTTTTTTTCCCAGCAGGAGCAAATTGGATCATGCTTTGCTGAGTTTTTTTTGTCTTCTTCTGGATCAACTGTGGGTGTAGGATTATAACTTTTTTTTTTAATGGTTGTACTGGATGAACTTTTGTCTTTTTTCAGCCAGACTAACTATGTAACTATGAATGCAGAAGTAGCAGCCTTTTTTAAACGTTGACTTTCCTAATAATGTCAAATGTTGTGCGTTTCTTATGCAATGCTGTCTGCTCCCTCAACCAATGACCTTTTGCTCCAGCCCTGCCCAGTACATCTCACTGTTTCTCTAGCCAATAACTTATAACTTAAAGCGGAGTTCCACTCACGCTGTCAAAAAATAAAAGTCATCATCTACAAAAACTGTAGCTGCTGACTTTTAAAAAACAGCCACTTACCTGCCCCTCGGTCCCGCGTTGTGTCCCCTGCAGCCCGTTTCACCGGCCGTCCTGTATACCAGGAGGCCGGCACCTTCAGCGTGGGCACCCGGCTGTGGTAGCTTGCGGCTTCACAGTCGGGTACCCACTACGCATGCGCAAGTAGCACTGCGCTTTATGAATGGTCCTGTAGTCTTCTAGGACCTGTCATGTGTCCCAAAAGACTACAGGAAGGGAGGACACCTTCCACTTCCTATCGCCTAGGCGATAGGACCGGTAGTGGGAGCGTGTACCTGTCAAATTCGGGTACCCACTCCCCCCCCGCCCCCCAAAGGTGCCAATCCTTAATGGAGAACGGGGGAGCAGTCCTTAAAGCGGAACTTCCCCTTTTGGGTGGAGCTCTGCTTTAAGGAACCCACTGCATCACAGGAGAACACCTAGTCAGGTTTAAGAACGGAATAGCTTCAGTTACCTAGGAGCCATGTTATCAAGTATACATGCTCAGGTGTTTGAGGCAAAGAGCGATTGGCGTACTGTTTCAACATGCCGCATGGTTTGGTGGACTCATTGAGTATTTACTAAAATTGGTGCACTCTGTGAATTTACTGAATCTGGTGCAGCTGTGCATGGTAGCCACTCAGCTTCTAAATTCAGCTTCTTCAATTAGGTTTGGCATTACAACCTGGAAGCTGATTGGTTTCTATGCAGAGCTGCACCAGATTTTGCACGCTCTTGTTTTAGTAAATAACCCCAACTGTAGGTTGGAGAGACACAAAGAGCAGGACGAAACCTACAGGCAGGTGCTCTGGGCAGACAGCAGACAACAGCAGGATTAGGAAAGAATAGGTATAAGACAGAGCTCCAAAACAGTCCTAATCAAGTGAACAATTGTGAGTAGTGCACACAGTATTGGGTCAAACACAACCTGTTGATCAGGCACAAGCTGAATGTCCAACAGTATATTTAAGAAATCCTGATTGTGGCAGGTGTGCACTGCAGCAAGACCTGAGCTGCAGTGCTGAGTAATGACCAGCCGATGGCAAAGGTTCAAGGGTTACCATTACACAAGGTGGACATGTGCTAGGTAAGGGGGACCAAGGGGAAAAACAATGTAAGTGGAAACTCTGGGCACTAAACAACTCTATTTTCATATGGAATTCGATATTTATAGTAGTTGTGTGGAAAAGGAAATAGCTAGGCCGGCCATAAATGTAATATTCTCCTCTCATCTCAATGACGGAAGGGGATAGATATCTCTAGATTACCATATTTTTTTTTCAGGTGGTACTTTAAGGCTGTTGGAAGGAAAGAAGCGGAACGACAGCTGCTGTCACCTGAGAATCAGATTGGAGCCTTCATGATACGGGACAGCGAGACTATGAAAGGTGAATGAATGATGCATTGAGGAATTCACTCAGTACTCCTCTTTCCTCATATTAGATCAAGTATTGGACTTGCTTCCAGACGCTTTGAGAATAAGGACAATTTTCAAAAGTTGGGCCCCTCTCCCATCTATCAGAGATGCAATGAGGTGCTATTACTATCACCAATCCCCAAACCCATGGCTCCACTCCTGACTTGCGCCTTTCATCCTACATGGATGACCCAGGCGCTGGCTACCACAGCCCATTTCCACTTTCAATCCCCACTTGTGAGCAAGTCGAGGAAGGTGGTTTTGGGTGGAGGCATCGATGTATGCAATTTAAAGCCGTTTATAACTCTGCCCCAAATTACATCACCAATCTCGTCTCCAAATATCACCTAAACCGTCCTCTCTGCTTCTTGCACAACCTCCTGCTCTCTAGCTCCCTTGTCTCCTCCTCTCTAGCTCCCTTGTCTCCTCCTCCCATGCTCGTCTCCAGGACTTCTCCAGAGCTTCCCCCATCCTCTGGAACTCTCTACCCCAATTTATCAGACTATCGCCTACTCTGCTCACTAGGCGATCTCTGAAAACCTATTTCTTCAGTGAAGCCTATCCCGCCCTCAGCTAATAATGGAATCTTCTGCTCCTCCTACCAGTCCATCCCCCACAGATACTACCTTTTGTACCACTAGCCCCTCCCTCTTAGATTGTAAGCTCCAAGGAGCAGGGCCCCCTAACCCTCTTGTATTGAACTGTATTGTTGCTGTATTGTCTCCCGTTATATTGTAAAGTGCTGAGCAAACTGTTGGCGCCATATAAATCCTGTATAATAATATATAATACTCCTCCTACCAGTCCATCCCCCACAGTTATTAACTCTTGTACCACTAGCCCCTCCTTTTTAGATGGTAAGCTCCCAGGATCAGGGCCCCCCTAACCCTCTTGTATTGAACTGTGTTGTTGGTGTACTGTCTCCCGTTATATTGTAAAGTGGTGAGCAAACTGTTGGCGCTGTAGAAATCCTGTATAATAATAATAGTAATAATTTTTTTGCCGAATTAAATACAGAAAAAAGAGCTTAGTTATGGAGTTCGGCTTATATTTATTAAATACTTTTAGCTATCACCAGTTATTTGATATCCTCTTCTTTGTTTTTCAGGTTGCTACTCGCTATCTGTCAGAGATTTCAACCCTCAGACTGGAAACGCAGTTAAACATTACAAGATTCGCACCTTGGACGATGGCGGATTTTATGTTTCTCCAAGGAGAACTTTCAAAACGTTGCACGACCTGGTCCACTACTACCAGAGTAAGATCCAAAACCGTGTTCATCTTTTATTAGTACAAAAAACGGAGTTCTGTTAAGATAAAACAAAACAGATCCCCCAGGGTTTCTGGGAAAATGGGAGAAGGAACTGGGAGTAGAAATTGACCCACAGCAAAGGAATATTGTTTCCAAATTAACACATAAGGTGATAAATATGCGTACAGTGGAAATAAACTACAAATGTGTATAGCTAGATGGTATATAACACCAAAGGTAGTACAGAAGCAGCAAGTAGAAATTTCCCCCTTGTGCTGGAGAGGATGCGGAAAAGGAGGCACAATGGCACACATATGGTGGAGTTGCCCAAAAATACAAAACTATTGGAGGGAAATAACCCAACTTATGCAGGAAATATGCGAGATAACCTTTCAGAGAGACCCATGGAAGTGTCTATTCTATTGGGCATTTTGAGCCCTCATTGGAACTACATAAAAAGAAAGTATTATACCATTTAATTAGCGCGGTCAAAGGCTTAATTCCCAAGTACTGGTGAGTTAGTAGAGGACTAAAAATGTCCGGTGCTTATCTGTTCCTGTCCTAATTTAACGACGCTAGCTTTGGAATGTGCGCACACTGGAAGAGACTCACGCTGACACACAAGTTCAGTAAATATGAATACTTCTATTTATTGTAATGAGGTGAACTTATATATGCAGAATGACGCGAGGGGAATGAGTCATGTGAATTAATAGGGGGATGAATTACTATATGGGGGATGATGATTACTATGGGGGATGAATTACTATTGGGGGATGATTGAATTACTATGGGGGATGAATTACTATATGGGGGATGAATTACTATATGGGGGATGAATCTATGGGTGATGAATTACTATGGGTGATGAATTACTATATGGGGGATGAATTACTATATGGGGATGATTTACTATGGGGGATGAATTACTATATGGGGGATCTTACTATGGGGGATGAATTATCTATAGGGAGAGAAAAACATTCTTTTGTCTTCCAAATCACACGGTGGGAGGGGGTCTTACTGTGGTGAGCAGACATTTCTTAAGCAAGGATTTCTTATAGTACCAGAAATGCCCAGCAGGGGGAAAATATTCACACAACTATGTATTAAAGTATAAAATTAAATATTTAATATAAACCCACTTATAGAAAAAGCGTATATATATATATATTCAATAGGAAAAAAATTAGGCATTTTAATTTAGCCAAATCCTTATTCCCACTGGCAGGGGACCGATGCACCAAAAATCATAGACTGGATAGATAGAGTGGAGGGTATCTTTAGAATGGAGGAATTGTACCATAGGGAAGAGGATAAAAAATGGAAACATTTAGAAACATATGGTGCAGTTGGATAAAATTCAAAACCTCGGAAATATATACAGAATTGATTAGAGTAAAGGGGGGAAGTCTAGAAACTTGAAGAGAGGTACTATGGTAAATTCATGTAAGAGAAGAATTTGATGGAGACAGATAGGTATGAATGAAGAATTAGACAGGGAGGAAGGATGTGGATGGGGGGAGGGGTAGAGGGGGGAGAGGGAGGAGGGGGGAGAGGGAGGGGAGGGAGGGATATGGAAATGTTTGGGGTTATTGGAGTATATATGAAATATTTTTATAACTGATGATTTGTTTCCATTTTGTGTAATAATCAAATAAAAATTTTAAAAAAAAAAAAATAAAAAAGATAATACAAAACCATCCTACTTTTGGGTGGAGTGGTATATTATTTGCAAATAATTTATTTTGATTTATGTGTTTTTAGAGTACTGTGTTACTCATCTGAAACCTCTTTGTTATGTCAGTATTTCCTTTTGTTTCCTCTTTTTTTTACCCTTACTGTTTTTTTTTTTTGTAGACAACTTGGATGGCTTGTGCCAGAAACTCACTACAGCGTGCAAATCCTCTCGTCCAGAGAAACCGTGGGAGAAGGATGCCTGGGAAGTATCGAGAGATTCGCTGAATTTGGAAAAGAAGCTCGGTGCTGGGCAGTTTGGCGATGTTTGGTTGGGTAAGCCATACATTTCTTTTGCTGCTTGAAAAATCAAAAGACAAAAAAAAACTCCAATAACAAGCTGTACTGTCTACATCTGCGATTCCGAAACTGTTCTTGAGATTCATCGATCGTGCAGATTTTCTAGGTAACCGCACACATGAGCAGTAGAGCCACCTGTATGGATCGCCAATAAACATGACCTGTTGGTGACATTTGGGAAATTGCAGGCCATAGACGGGTTGAAAATAGGCCGATTTCTCGGCCGGAAAAAAAATCTGACGATTTTCGCACCGTTAGTGGGTTAATTGGTTGGCCGTTTTTTTTGGCTTTTTGCACATTTTTTTTATCGGGCATGTTGGAAAATTTACGGCCGATTTTGACAAACGGCCGATTTTCCCAGCAATGATGGGCAAATCGACCGATCATTTTACCGATGAAAAAATCTGCGCATGAGCCGTGACCTGCAAGAAGAAGAAGAAGAAAAAGAAGAAAAAGAATTCCAGTCCGCTATTATATTTTATATGAAAGTCTTGCGGTTGCAACAATGTATCCATTTGTATCCAATAAAAACATCTGTATCCGAAATGGATACATTGTTGCAACCGCAAGACTTTCATATAAAATATAATAGCGGACTGGAATTCTTCTTCTTCTTCTTTTATTCTTATGTATTGCTCCCCTTTGTGCTCCCCTGTCTCTGCAAGGGACAGGAGTAATTATGGGGTTAAATGCCGGCCATAGACGGGACGAAAATCGGCAGATTTTTTTTACCGTTGGTGGTAACATCGGCCGATCGAATGACTGATTTTTAGTTTGTTGTTTGTTTTTTTTAAGAGGCCGATTTTCAGCCCCATCTATGGCCTGCATAAGGCTGTCGGGACTTGCAATTCATTTATTCACAGAAGTCCATGAATGAATGTCACAGTACGGGGAGATTTGGAAGCACAACACCCTTTTTTGGGGAAAGGTTACTGCTTATGGTTCCCATTTTATAAAGGTCATGCGGATATGAAATAATTAAAAAATAAAAAATATGAGCTACTTCCTTTTTTTTTCAGCATGTGAATGGTGGGGACAGACGCACACACAACCGCTGCAGGACAGGCAGGGAATCAAATGATTCTGGGCGTCCGTTTTAGGAGATCGGCTGATTTTCATGAAGTATTAGCATTCTTCACAGCCTCAGAGACAAAGGCACACTTGTTTATAAATAATATTTAGACGTAAACCATTCTGCCATCAGAAACTATAGAAAAGTTATTTTCCTTAGAGTTTACATACATTTTAATGCAGAATTTCTTCTAACAATGAACTCTTATTTGCTCCGTTTTGGTCTGTTAAATATACCATTGAAAGCTATTTGTCATATTTAGTCAGTATTTGCAAAAATACCAGTTGGCCTAAAATAGAGTGCTGTCTTTCACTTTGCAGTCCTTTCTCTAGCATTGGCTCAGCCCATCTAACCTATGTGAACAACAGAACATCTCCTTCTCTTGGTATGGAAATTAGGAGAGGGGAGGTGTGTTTGTAGATCTATCCTAGGGTTCCAATGCTGTTGCTTTATACAGTAGATATAGTAGAGAGAAAGCGTTGTCACCCTAGGACAGGATGTGTGTTTGCTGGCAGGGTCACTAGGTGAAAATAAAGGGGGGGGGGGGAAGCTTAAAATTAGAAAACAAATGCAGCTACTACAACTAAGGACTGGCAAGCTGCAATATATTAGGTTTTTGTTCTTGAGTTTGAATACGCTTTAACAACTTGCCCTTGACAGCAGGGGTGGACTGACAACTCATGGGGCCCCCGGGCAATAGGGGATCATGGGGCCCCTGTGTCCTTGCCCGAACTCAAAAAAGCCTATGAAAAAGGTACCAGGGGCATCTCATGGGGCCCCCTACTGACCCTGGGCCCTCGGGCAGTGCCCGAGTTTCCAAATGGTCAGTCCGCCCCTGTTTTGCAGTTGCAGGACGAGGAATGCGTTCAGTTAGGTGTTTTTTAAATGGGGTACAAATAGATTCCATAAATGATTTAGCCAATAACGCTCAACCACTCGCCCTCCAGAGGATTTACCCCCTTCCTGACCAGGCCATTTTTTGTGCTATGGCGCTACGTAACTTTAACTGACAATTGCGCGGTCATGCAACGCTGCATCCAAATGAAAGTTATGTCCTTTTTCCCCACAAATAGAGCTTTCTTTTAGTGGAATTTGATCACCTGTGCGTTTTAATTTTTTTTGCGCTATAAATAAAAAAAGACCGGCAATTTTGAAAAAAAAAAAAAAACAATATTTTTTACTTTTTGCTATAAAATACATCCAATAAAAAAATTAATTACAAATCAAATTTCTTAGTAAATTTAGGCCAAAATGTATTCAGCTCCATGTCTTTGCTAAAAAAATTTCCCAATACATGTAAATTAATTGGTTTACCTGAAAGTTTTTTCCAATAGCGGGACTGCGGTGGGCATTCTGACACTGGGCGGAACTGACTAACTGCCACTGACATCCCAATGACACTAATACAGTGATTAGTGCTACTAAAAAGCACTGACACTGTACTATTGACACTGGGCAGAAAGGGGTTAACATCTGGGGAGATCAAAGGGTTAACTATGTGCTGTTTTACATGATGTGCTGTGTGTTTTACTTGGGAAACATGATGCTGTGTATTTTTTCTGCTGAGCAGTGATACTTGGCGGTCACCGGGCGCTGGCGGTGATCAACATCTGTAGCCGCCACTGGCGGCGCGGGTAGGTCAGCGGGCGTGCCACCTACCCGGAAATGTAAAATCACGTATATACGTGATTTTGCGCAGTCCTGCCGCCCTGTAGCTGTAGTTCTGCTATAGGGCAGTTGGGAAGCGGTTAAGAAGAAAGGGAAGAAGTAAATTGCACCACCTTCCTGTTAAACACCCCCGGTCACATCAAAGCCGATTTTGAAATCGTGCGCCTTACAGTGAAGTCGCATGATTTCAAAATCAGGTGACCTGCCGATTTCAGTTGCGATTTGCAAGACATCTGACACAGATGTGTATGCAAATCGCAACAAAAGTAGTGCATGTACTACTTTAGAAATCGGTGTGGCTCCGACCAAGTCGGAACCGCACCGATGTGACCGCTCTAATAGTGAACAATAGGGTGCGACTTGGCATATGATTTGCAAGTCGCCTGGCAAGCAGATCACGTGCCAAATTGCATCCGATGTGACCAGGGTCTTACGGCCCATACCCTTGATAAGAAAATCATACGAGCGATCGTGTGATAATCTGATCATTAGTATACATCTTTTGACAGCCGATCATGACAGTTCATGCGACAATAACTGAAGCGACAAATGGAAAAAATTTTCTCGCACAAATTCATTTTCTGGGCTTTCTTCCTGACCTAGGCTGTATCTTGCCCCAGGCTGCTACCCTCTAACTTTCCTCTCCACTTCCTCCCTCATTTAGCCACATACAACGGGCACACTCAGGTGGCAGTGAAGACGATGAAACCAGGAAGCATGTCTCCGGAGGCCTTCCTGGAAGAGGCAAACATGATGAAAACATTGCAGCACGAGCGCCTGGTGCGTTTGCACGCTGTGGTGACGCAGGGGGAGCCCATATTTATCATCACCGAGTACATGCAAAAGGGCAGCTTGCTGGATTTTCTGAAGAGCGACGAAGGCAATTCTCTCAAGGTGCCACAACTTATTGACTTTTCCGCCCAGGTAAGACGCCAGGGATTAAGGAAAGTTTTTTGATGTGCAGTCTGCTTAAAATTTATACCAGTAGTCTCCCCGTTTGTTCATTGTCGGGTTATAATTCGATTGTGTTTCACTCATTGACACTTTGGTCCCGTTATATATCCAAATTAGGTCTTATTTCCTCTGTCCCTCCGGGGTCGACCTTTTCAGGGACCCAAATTAGAAATCACTTTCGGTCCCTGAGACGGCCCTTAACCACTTCCTGTCCGGCCGCTGTATATAAACGCCTGGACGAGGGCAATGCAGGGGCGGGTTGCCGTTTATAAACGGCGCCCACCATTTTGGATTGTGCGTGCTCCCTGGGAGTGCGTGGCACCGCAATCCAGTGGAACACCGATCGCTGTACAGGACCTCTGTGTGAGGTCCTGATCATGTGATCACTGATTGGCCAAACAGTGATCACATGAATAGGTGTAAGCAAGATGACATAATTGCTTACTACGTGTGAAATCTGTGAATGATCACAGAGATCACATGGTACAGGGCTATCCACAACAGCCTTGTACCATGTGACAAGCTCTGACAAATCAGAATGCCTTTATGGGTGTAAAAGCAATCAATGTAAAAAAAAAAAAAAAAAAACTATGGTGACACTGTACTACTGGGGTGACAGTATGTTAAAAAAAAAACCAAAACATTAATAATAATATAAACAAATAAAATACAAATGTAAAAAAATTTTTGAAAAATTATAATTTTTGGTTATAAACTAATTTGGGTTATTTTTTTTAACTAATAAGATAACTGAATACATTTTGGCCAAGAATTTATGAAGAAAGATTATTTATTTGCAAAATTTTATAAGAAAAACACTTTATTTCAGAAATTTTGGACTTTTTCATTTACTGTATATAGCAAAAAAAAAAAAATCCCACTGGTGAATAAATACCACAAAAATAAAAAGTGTACAATCTAAGGTCTCTAACCCTCAAGGGGTGTACAATCTAAGGTCCCAAACCCTCAAGGGGCGTACAATCTAAGGTCCCTAACCCTCAAGGGGCGTACAATCTAAGGACTCTAACCCTCAAGGGGCGTACAATCTAAGGTCCCTAACCCTCAAGGGGCGTACAATCTAAGGTCCCTAACCCTCAAGGGGCGTACAATCTAAGGTCCCTAACCCTCAAGGGGTGTACAATCTAAGGACTCTAACCCTCAAGGGGCGTACAATCTAAGGTCTCTAACCCTCAAGGGGCGTACAATCTAAGGTCCCTAACCCTCAAGGGGCGTACAATCTAAGGACCCTAACCCTCATGGGGTGTACAATCTAAGGTCCCTAACCCTCAAGGGGCGTACAATCTAAGGTCCCTAACCCTCAAGGGGCGTACAATCTAAGGTCCCTAACCCTCAAGGGGCGTACAATCTAAGGTTCCTAACCCTCAAGGGGCGTACAATCTAAGGTCCCTAACCCTCAAGGGGCGTACAATCTAAGGTTCCTAACCCTCAAGGGGCGTACAATCTAAGGTTCCTAACCCTCAAGGGGTGTACAATCTAAGGTCCCTAACCCTCAAGGGGCGTACAATCTAAGGTCCCTAACCCCAAACAAGAGAGAGTTTTTTTTAAATAATTTGAACCATTTTTTTCTCTCTATACAAGTCAGAGCAGCTCAAAGGACCTCAAAAGCAGGTCAGAAGAAACTCACAAACATCTGAAATCCGTGTGTGCCTGAACCTGTGCTGTTTCCATAACCTGGCCATGCAATCTAAATTCTTTTCGATTTATCAATACCTATGTAAAGCAACAGTGGCTTAGTGGTTAGCACCCCTGCCTTGGAGTAAATGGGTCAGGGGTTTGATTCCAAACCATGGCGCCTCCTGCATGGAGTTTGCATGTTCTCCCTGTGCTTGCGTGGGTTTCCTCTGGGTATTCTGGTTTCCTCCCACACTCCAAAGACATGCTGGTAGGTTAATTGGCTCCTGTCTAAATTGTTCTAGTTTCATCCCTGGCTATGCGGGATCTCCTGCATGGTGGGGGTTGGGGAAAGACCTGGCAACCTACCCTGTAAAGAGAATTCATGGAAAAAGTCGCTTACGAGTGACGGTCCATGTAATCACCAAGGGTCGAATACGACTGAATGGATAGATAGATGTAGTGCAAGGGCGTGGTTGATTATACATCAAATAAATTGTGTATTGCAATACACAATCAATGATAACATAAATAATGGCTATAAAAGAGTTGGTGTGCAGATTGTGTAATAAAATGATAATAATAGGCAAGCCGAGTTTTACATTTACCTAAAGGGTCAATTCAGTTTATAAACAACAAGGTAAGCCCTTCTCCTACATAGGAAATCTAAAGTAGATGACGACTTTTCTCCTTTTACACAGATTGCAGAAGGAATGGGGTTCATAGAGCAGAAGAACTACATCCACCGCGACTTGCGAGCAGCCAATTGCCTGGTGTCCTCCAGTATGGCATGTAAGATTGCCGACTTTGGTTTGGCCCGTGTGATTGAGGACAGCGAGTATACAGCCAGAGAGGGTGAGTACGCTCCATCTTACAGTATGTACTAATGAATGTACTACCAAAAGTGGTTCTAAAAGAAGAAGGTCTTTTTTAGCTTAAAGGGGAGTTCCACATAAAAGTGAAAGCTCCACTTGTTTGTCTCCTCCCCCCTCCACTGCCATATTTGACACTTTTTTGGGGGGAGCGGATACCTGGTTTTGACAGGTACCTGCTCCCATTTCCGGCTCAGTTTGCTGCGGCGAAGTGAGCCAGAAGTTCGGCCCCCCTCCTTCCTCCGCAGTCTTCTGGGACACTTCACAGGTCCCAGAAGACTGCCGTACCAATCAGGATGTGCTGTGCGATTCGTGCATGCGCAGTGGGCACCTGGCTGTGAAGCCGCAAACTGTTACAGCCTAGTGCCCACAGTTGAGATGCCTGCGCCGGTGAGAGAAGGGACGGGGCAGGTGAGCACATCGCTGCATCCTGGGACAGGTGAGTGCTTGTTTATGTAGCTGCTGACTTTTAACCCCTTCACACCGGCGCCTCCCGGCCCTTTAAGAGTTTCAGAAGCCGGGAGGCGGGACGGGCGGGTGGGGTTTAGGGTCATGTGACTGCCGTGACGACTCACGGCAGTCAAATGATCGGGAAAGGTCCCGATCGGGACCTTTCCGTGAGTACTGGACATGTGTGCTGGGGGCGCGCAGGGCACACGCTCTCAGCACATATGTCCTTTTTTAATAGAACGCAAATGTGCGGCCGCTCGGGGTCTAGGCCCAGACGCCAGGTGGCCTCACATTTGCGTGCGTTCGGCCGGCGTGAAGAGGTTAATAAACACAAAACTGACTGAAACTTCGCTTTAATGCATTTTATGCATTAGGGTAAAAAAATCTGGCCTCAGCTCCCCCACTCAGGTCCTCCTTATAATAACTTCTAGTCCATATTGATCCAGCAATGTGTATGAGAGCAGAGGCTCTCCCAAGTCTCTCTTTCCTCATTAGCTCACAGCAGCCATTAGCTCCTGTTGCTATCAATCACAGCCAGTGAGCTAATGAGGGCAGGAACAAGCCATGCTCTGTGTGTGAATGGGCAAGGTTGCAATGGAAAAGAGTGCGACTTGTGAGCGAGCCTGCTTGAGAGCCCCCATAGAAAGAGGCTTGCTACTGGGGGCAGACGGCAGTGGGGAGGACCCAGGACTGCCGGCGGGGGACCCAAAAAGAAGAGGATTGGGGCTGCTCTAAGCAAAACCATTGCACAGAGCAGGTAAGTATAACATGTTTATTTTTTTTTTTTTTTTTAATAAAAAAAATACAACCTTTAGAATCACGTGTTTAGAATCATAACTGCCAGCCAGCTAGCATTTTCAGAAAGAGGTCATCAATGGTCCTCTGTATCTTTCTCTTTTACAGTCTAATCATGTGATGGATTGTTTTTGTTTTTAAACAGGAGCCAAGTTCCCAATAAAATGGACTTCCCCCGAGGCTGCCAACTACGGCTCCTTCACCATAAAATCCGATGTGTGGTCCTTTGGCATCCTTTTGACTGAGATCATTACCTATGGAAGGACGCCATACCCGGGTGAGGGCGCTGTATTCCCTATACAGGGTCAGCCAGCATGGTAGATGGCATTCATATGAACTTACTACATGGAACAATAGCAGGGACAGTCCAGACCCTCTATTAGACATTTGGCCTGCCTTTGATAAGCCAATCTTAGCTGAGGACTAAGGCAGGCCATAGATGATGCGAAAGAAAATCGCTCGATACCCCTATCAACACAGTCAGTGTTGATGGGGGAATCCCTCTTATGGAGCTATTGTGTTCTCCCGGCAGGGAGGGGGGTGCGGGGAGCTATCCCTACCAGGGGAATGCAGTGATTATTGCTAGCAGCTATAGCTGCTGGCAATAATCGCATGTAAAAATCCAACATGCTGGATCGATCGATGGATCAATTTGGGTACAATCAGCCTGCCCATAGACTGGTCAAATCTCAACCGGGCCATGCTGAACCAACTATTTGAACCATCTAGGGCCATCTTTAATCTGCCTATATACATGACAGCAGGGGCGGACTGACAACTCATGGGGCCCCCGGCAATAGGGGATCATGGGGCCCCTGTGTCCTTGCCCAAACTCAAAAAAGCCTATGAAAAAAGTACCAGGGGCATCTCATGGGGCCCCCTACTGACCCCGGGCCCTCGGGCAGTGCCCGAGTTTCCAAATGGTCAGTCCGCCCCTGCATGACAGACAATCTTGTATTTATTAAAGGCCCCCCCCTAACCCTGATGGCCTCCGTCTGGACGATCGAATAATATGGGGTGGTTTAAAAGCTTCTTAAGTCACTACCATTCCCACCGAGGTAAGCAACACTGGAAGATGTCACCTGTGCCATTCTTTCCATCTGTAGTCAGAGACAAAAATGTTCCATAGATTAGATTATTACTGTTCAATGAGCACCCAGACATGGCAGCTGCCAGAGGATGCATAGCCAGCTGTCTTCTTATACATATGGGCACCATCAGGCTATGTGCAAATAGATGCTCAGCAGGGAAAGA